ATTTGTTGATGCTACGACATGACATTTATCAGCTTGCCTCACCATGTTCATCATGATGGAACACCAGTGTCTGGGTTATAATGCCGGGAAGCCTCAGAGCCATGGAGATCCTTGAGCCATTTGCCCCCACAATTTGTAAATGCATTTACATTTTGTCTTGATTTACACTTTTTCTGCCTAATTCTTCTTTTAATTCTAAAACATATTTCCTAGCAGTTTCTGTAGGCTCCTAACTTGCCTTATCTGATCTGTTTATATTCTTAGAAACCAGATCAGAAATCTTGCTGGACCTATATGAAAAATAAATGCAAACGATTCCAAGTGAGAGCATAATAAAACTCTTAAATAATAAATGTGTCTTAGTCTTTTTGTGCTGTGATAACAAGATACCACAGACTGGGTAGTTTATAAACCACACAAGCTTACTTCTCACAGTTCTGTTGGCTGGGAGGTCCAACGTATGAATTGCAGAATATACACTCAGAGAACAGTAAGATGCAGTAACCCTAATACTTGCTTTCCAGTGACCATTCTGATGTCACAGACATTTTGTATTTTGTATTTTTCCGCAACTACAACTAGGTTCTAATAGATTAAAGTTGCTAGGCAAAGTATATACACTTGGGCTTTTTCCCCTAATTTGCATCAAAAAAATTATAAAGCGTTCTAGCCTATTCAAAAGAGGGTCCATATTCTGATTGAAAACCAGATAAGGAGATTCATATATGCCAAACCTGATTTTATTTATCTGAAACACCCAGTTTGCAGATTTGTCTGAGCTCCACTTTTCTTTCCCCAAAGCAAGGGCTTCCTTCCAGTATTGATGGTCTACCCATCTAGTACGATGTGCCTCTATTGATGGGGTATACTTAGCATGTCATTTCCATGGAATCTATTTTCTTTCTTTATTTTCCAGTTACCCTATAACATTTTTCAGTTAAATATGATTCTCTCTTCTTCTAGTTGGGAATTATTGTGGAATTACATTCATTCGTTCACTCATTCTTTCAACAGGTAGCTTTGGGAACCTTCTGTGTGCCAAGCACTCCTGTGGGCACTGCAGATCCAGCATTGTAAAGACAGAGGTTATCTCTTCTCCATCGCAAAGCTTAATGAATGATTATAATTGGAAGAACAAAATGAATGACTGTAAATAAATATATGCCAATAGTGGGACTAGCAATTGGCATAATGACTGTGTTGCTGCACTCCCACGTAGTCAACCACAGTTCGAGTCCTGGACCCGGTGGCTTAAACTCATGCTGGGCACATGTGCATGCGTGCCCAAGAGCCCAAGAGGAGACTGGAGGAGAAGGGATTGCAACATAGCCATCCCCCCTGGGGAGTGATTTCTCGCTTTCTGTCTCTGTCTCTGTCTTTCTGGCAAGTGCACACGCCCTACAGCAAAAAAACCTCCAAAAAAAAAAAATGCCAATAGTGATAGTAATAAAATCTTTTAAGAAAAATAAAAGAAGGCAAAGAATACGGATAGAGTGATAGACTGGGCATCTATTTGAAAGAGGGTAGTCTCTAAAGACAAAATAAGCATGTGAGGTGATGTTTGTATTAGCTATCTTGCTTCAACCATTTCACAGAGTTTACATATATTAAAACATCACGTTGTAAATAGTAAGTATCTATGATTTTATGTTTGTCAATTATACCTTAATAAACCTCAGAGAGAGCATGAAGTAAAGAGGGCGGTCAAGGAAGACCTCACTAAGGAGATTAGGCTTAAGCAGGGACCTGCGAAGTGGGGACGTAAAACATGAATGTCTGGAGGAGCTGAGAACAAACTTGGTATGTACTAGAAATAGCGTGAAGGCAAGTGTGGCTAGGGCTGAGTCAGTAGGAATAAGAAGGGCAGAAGAGAGGCTAAGGCCAGAGCCAAGTAGAGTATGGATTTTTGAAAATCGGTCAAAATTGTCACTATTTCCCAGTGCTTCATGATATGTTTGGCAATACTGTTTCTGTAGTTTTCTTAAAGCCAATGTAAAAGGAGTAGACATATAGCAGAAATAATTTTGGTAGGATAATTCATGTAATACCTTTTTTTAAGAGTTTTTTGTTTGTTTTTGTTTTGGGTTTTGTTTTTGTTTTCTGTTTGTTGTTGTTGTTGTTGTTGTTGTTGTTGTTATAGGGCACATGCACTAGCTGGAGAGACAGAGAGAAACAGACAGAAAGTGAGAAATTACCCCGGGGGGGCAAGAGGGGTTGGCCACACCGCAATTCCTTCTCTTCCATTCTCCTCTTAGGATTTTGGGGACACACGCACATGCACACACACCTGGTGTGAGCTTTAAGCCTCCAGGTCTGGAACTCAAACCACAGTCGACCGTGTGGGAGTCCAGCGACACAACCATTATGCCATCTGCTGGTCCCCATGTAATAATACCCTTTTAATAAATTCAAGAAAAAACATGGGGCAAGAATTAGTCTCAGTTGTACATTCTGATTTTTCTTTGTTTATTGAGCTGAAATTCACTTACATAAAATCAGCCATTTTGAAGTGATTCAGTGGCATTTAGTACATTCACAGTATTGTGCAACCACTATCTCTGACTTCAAAACATGTCCATCACCCCAAAAGGAACTTCATTAAGTAGTTATGTCCAATTTTTCTCTTACTCTGAATCCAGATGCAATAGAGAATTGGAGGAAGAAGGATTGCAGAATGACCACGTCCCATCGAAGGGCTCTCTCTTTCTTTCTCTCTGTCTCTCTCTCTCGTGCATGCATGCACACACTATCAGGAATAAAGAAAAAAACATGGTATTTTCAAAATTTTTCTTTTTTATCATTTAACAGCCTGATTTTTCTCCTTCTTTTTCCTAGAGAGGATCACATTAATTTTCCAAAACCAAATTTTCTAATGAATGCAGAATATTGTACCAAATGGTGTAATAAATAATTGATGTAAAAATTTATTTAAGCCATTTCATCATATTGTTGTACATTTGGGTTTTTCCACTTTTTTGGCTAATATAAATACTATTTCTGTATCAGTGTATATTTACATAGCAATAAGGCAGCCATTTCTACAGCAAAAAATAATTTTGCTTATTTTTCATCAAACAAAACAACTTTGAGCAAATTTGAAAATGCTCATTAGAGTACTAAAAGGGAACATAAAATCCAATTATTATAATATGATAATTGCATTTTCAACACAATTTAACGCAAAAAAAAATTTTAAATGAATATTTTCAAATCTGAATCTGCATGCTAGCCCACTAACTTCTTAGTTTTCTGTCTTTATTCTGCAAAGCCAAGAACATTTGCAGGCATTAAAAGAATTTTGCCTAGTTGAAGGCAAAAAAGATCTAATTTAAAGAAATTGAGCTCTAAGAACTGAGCAAAATGGTAGCTTTTATATATCTTTGGATTTCTTCCAACATTCTTCACCAGAATGAATATATCAAGTAGAGAAAATCAGGGACAAAAATTTTAAATTAACTGCAGAAAAGTTTTACATGAAGACTCTAGTTAGTATTCATTACATGTGCAACATTCTTTGAGAGAATATCTCATCATTTCTGCTTTCATATTTGTGTTTTCTAGGTTATATTTTGACCTGTTTGTCTTTTGTAAGTGAACAAATTAGGTTGGTGAATAAAATTAAAGACAGGGAAGAAATTTTAATGCTGAGCATTTTTTAGAAGGAAAATTATTACCTTTGAGCACAGAATTTTTAGAATTAACATTTTCTAATCAACTACATACTACTTACCATAAATGTAAAACAACATACTACTTACCATAAATGTAAATGTCTTTGGCTGCTAAAGTGAATGAAAGCAATTGGGCAGCTAATTATAAGCTTCTACGAGTTGTCAGAAAAGTAATGATGCATTTTTACATAAAAAAAAAAATGTCCTGACTTTTGTGACCACCCCATGTATCTATGTATCTAGACACACACACACACACACACACACACACACACACACACACACACATCAGAGATAGTGTAATACAGATCACTATTTCAGTTTCAGACATGGTAGACATGACTTACATATATAATAGTTTGAGTGTCAGAGTATTAAGAGCAGTATGTGTAGATCAATATCCTTACCCTAGAACCTTCCACTTTTATCTTTGAAAATGGGCAAGTTATTTCTCCTCACGAGGGTGTGTAGAAGAAGTATTGACTAAGATCCTTTACAAATCTAACAGTGGTTATCTTCTTCTTAGTTGAGGTGGACATCTGAGTACTATAATTTATGTGTGCATGCATATATGAGTGCATGCATGAGAGAGAGAAAAAGAGAGAGGAGCATCAGAATTTAAATTAGAATGAGAAGGAAAAGGAAAAGAAAGAAAAGTTTATTTAATGCTCAGAATGCTAAATATTTCATAAGATACAGCAATTGAAATCCTGATTCAACATAGCTTACTTGTCAGAAGTATTTTGTTTGTTTGCTTGTCTGTTTGTTTTGTTTTAGGTGTTGTGTTTTACTTTGTTGCCATAGGGCCCATGCACTTGAGGGAGAGAGACAGAGAGAGACAGAGGCAAAGTGAGAAACTACCCCCTCCCTAAGGTATAGAGGAGATTTATTTTATTATGATGCCTCCTTTTGAATAACCATCACTACTTTTTGGGAATCTCAGATATAAAGCTGAAAAGTCTTATATTTTGAAGACCAAGGACATATCTGAAAAATAACAGTCTACTTTTTCAACATTGTATTCTTGTACAACTTCACTTTGCATGAGTGTCTTTCTCTTGACAATTGGTGAACTGTGTTCCTGACGGGTAAAAGGGGGATATATGTTATGTACCAGATACTAGTTCCTTTGATATATGCAGAATAAACTGCATTGTATTTTATGTAATCTTGAAAGTATCTTTCTAGTTTTAAAGGGATAAAGAAACTACCTTCCATCCTTTCATCCTCTCATGTATAAAGGAGTAGTTTACTCCTCTGAATACAAAGGGAAGATATCTTTTTAAAACTTCTCAATGCCTGATACATTTTTTGAATTATGTATTTCAGGCCCTGCTTGATACTCAGAATCTTTTGCGTGCACAAATCACAAATTTCACATTCAACCTGGGATTTTCAGGGAAATTTTACCACACAGGTAAGAGAAAAGGATTAACTATTCTCATTAAGGATTCTGACTACTCTATGCAAAATTGTACACCCCTCCTGCTCACGCCTTCCCTACATCTCCTTTACCCTTCCCCCACTTCTTCATATCATTCAACTCCATTTAACATAGTATTTTTTTAACCTTTAGAAACTGTTAATGGTGGGGCCAGTAGATGGCATAGTGGTTAAGTCACTGGACTCCCACATGGCCAACCACAGTTTGAATCTCAGACCCAGTGGCTTGAAACTCCTGCCAGATGTGTGTTTGTGTGTGCCCAAGATCCCAGGAGGAAAATGAAGGAGAAGGGATTGGATTGTGGTTTGGCCATCCCCCCTACCGGATAGTTTCTCACTTTTCCTTTCACTGTGTTTGTCTCTTTCTCTCACCAGCACACATGCCCTAAGACAAAAACCTTTAAAAAAAAAGAAAGAAAGAAAGAAAGAAAGAAAGAAAGAAAGAAAGAAAGAAAGAAAGAAAGAAAGAAAGAAAGAAAGAAAGAAAGAAAGAAAGAAAAAGTTAGTGGTTACAAAGTTTATGGTATTTTCTAATGGCCTCCTTTTTTTAGTGAGCTATAATGTACATAGATGACAACACATAAATAACAAGTGTGATGTTCAGACAATTTTCATGAAGTATATTTAGGATTGTCACCTGCAAGCACAACAGGAAAGAAAATGCCATCAGACTCTCCCAATCTTGTGTGATCTTATTGCGCATTGATTTTTCCTAGCTTTGAGATGTGTACTAAAGGATTCATACGGCGTGGACTCAACATGATTTTGTTTCTATGGATGCTATTGTATACAGGTTATAATTCTTTCATTTTCTCTGCCGTGTAGTATCCCACTAGTTGATCACACTGAAATTCCTTTGTTGAATCTATTTCAGTGTAAATGATTAAGTTGTTTCTACTCTTTGCCTTTGTGAATAATCCTGTTATGAACATTTATATGCCTGTCCTTCGGAGGAATAAGTATTTTTTTCTCATCAGCTCTCAATTAGGAATGGAATTGCTCTTTAAGTGGCACACACGATCCGCTTCAGGAGAAAATCCTGAACAGTTCCTCAAAGTAATTGTACCAATTTATATTCCTAACAGTACGTATGCCCTGTTGTCCTACATCTTCGCCAATATTTGGTATTGTTTGTCTTTCTAATTTTAGCCTTTCTGGTAGTCATGTAGAGATTTTATTTTATGGTTTTAATGTACACATCTCTGATGAGCAATAAACAGATCCTTTTATGTTTATTGACTATCTGGATATTCTCTTTGGAAAAACACCTGCATTTTTAAATCAGGTCATCTGCTGCTACTTATTAATTTGTAGAAATTCCTTACATAGTCTTCATGCATCAGTTATATGTGTGGAAAATATTTTCTCCCAGCGTCTGGGCTATCTTTTCTTTTCTTTTTTTTTTTTTTTTTTTTTTTTTTTTTTTTTTTTTTTGGAGAGATTTTTGCTATAGGGCACGTGCGCTCACCAGACAGACAGAGAGAGACATAGAGACAGAAAGCGAGAAATCACCCCCCCAGAGGGGATGGTCACGCCGCAATCCCTTCTCCTCCATTCTCCTCTCGGGATCTTGGGCACGCATGCACATGTGCCTGGCGTGAATTTTAAGCCACTGGGGTCGATTACGTGGGAGTCCAGCGACATAGCCATTACGCTAACTGCTGGTTCCCTGGGCTATCTTTTCTTCGTAATGTTTTTGATGGTTAAAAACACTTCATTTTAATATTGTCTACCTTATTTTTTTTCTTCATGGCCAGCTTTTTGTGTCTTGTTTAATAAACCTCTGCATAATGTAGGATCATGAAAATATTTTCATACATTGTTACATTGTCAAAATTTATAAATCTGTAATCCATCTGGAATGGATTTTGTGTATGTATCTGACAGAGGTCTAGTAATCTTTTTATTTCATAAAGTACCAAGTAATTGACACCAAGCAACCAAAAGCATCCTTCCCCACTGCACCGTAGTGTCATCGTTGTAATAAACTAGATTACCATGTATGTGTGAGCTCTGTTTATGGGCTCTCATTCCTGTTCTCTGTTTTGTCACCATTAATGTTTCTTATTTATTCTAACTTTATGATTCATATTAACATCTGCTAGAGTAATCTTCCAGGTTCGTTCATCTTCTGCAAGATTGCCTTAGCTATTTATTCTTGACCATTTTCATTTAGAATTTGGTTTGCCAGTTGGAATAATTTTTATTGAGAGTTCGTGAAACATATACATTAATTTAGGCAGAATTAACATCTGAACTATTGAGTCTCCCAATCTTGAAAAAGGTAATTATAAAGTCAAGCAAGATGGCATGCACTTATAATCCTAGCTACTTGGGAGGTTGAGACAGGAAATCATAATACTGCAAGACTCTTGTCTAAAAGCACATGTGCATACACACACACACACACACACACACACACACACACACACACACATAACGGACTAGAAAATGAAACATAAAGATGTATCCTTGGGACCAGCAGTTAGCGTAATGGCTATGTCGCTGGACTCCCATGTAGTCGACCATGGTTTGAGTCCCGGACCCAGTGGCTTAAACTCACAGCACCCGACGTGTGGTGCGTGCATGCCCAAGATCCTGAGAAGAGAATGGAGGAGAAGAGATTGCAGCGTGGCCATCCCCCCTGGGGGATGATTTCTCGCTTTCTGTCTCTCTGTTTCTCTCTGTCTTTCTGGCGAGCGCACGCAAAATAAATAAATAAATAAATAAATGTATTCTAAATTGCTTGCATATAGGAACATTCTACTATCTTGGCATAATACTCTAAGTGAGAATTTTCTCTTTATGTGCAGAAGTTCACTTCATTTTTCTACTAAAGTTAAACCCATAGAACCACTAAATTTCACAATGGTGATCTTCAAAAAACCTAAGGAAATGGAAGATTGTTCATAACCTCTTTCTTAATATATCCTAATTTCAGGTGATTATCTTAGATTCTTTGACATCTTTCAGGGGAAAAAAAATTATCCTACAGGTAAGAACTTATCAGGACAAGATCAAAAACCTAGAAAATAAGTAGATAGAGGGAGATTATAGGAAAAGCCATAGTAGCAAAGCAGGAAAACCCAGATTCACCCAAGAAAACACTCCTGACTACTCCCTATTTTTCTGTCCAACATTGAATGCTGGAAAATGACTCTAGCCAGTCCCTCTCCTTCCTTCTCATCTCTGAAATATATGTCTTCTCTTTAAACCAGGGAAAGTGGAGCACAGGAGGAGGCTAATGCCAATATTTGAAGGGGATCTTATTTGTGTACAATAAAAAAGCTGCCACAAAACTGTATCCAGGGTTGTCTAAGGCCAGTAATGCTATTTTGTCAGTAGGAACATTTATACAATTTAATAGTCAATATTTTAAAAATTATATATTATAAAATTTCATAGAATTATATTGTCTTTCTTTCTAAATGAGTAATTCATTTTTTCTACTAAAAATTCTATTCATTTTACCAATCTTGAAAGGAAAGAGAAAAGTAGAACTATCATAATAGTAAGACTTCATTTCAGGAGGAAGCCTTGTCTTGTGTGACCTACTTTAATTTTTGAAGAATTGATGCATTCTGTGAGAAATAAGATGAAGAAAATGAAAATCAGAGTTCTCTTTTAGTGAGCAATTATCATATTCTGGTACTTTGCTATGCACTTTTCATGTAGCTTTTCACTGAGCCTTCAAAGTGTTACCTTATTTTCTAGCTAAGAACACACAAAATTAGAGGGGCCAGAAGTAACCTAACTAGCTAAGCATCAAAAAGCGGTCTTAACCCTAGGCCAATCAGGGTCCAATTCTTCTGTATTAGAAAAATTGGGCTTTGGGGGCCAGTGGTTAAGGTGCTGGATTCCTACATGGTCAACCAAGGTTCATGTCCTGGATCCAGTGGCTTGAAACTCAGACCAGGCATGTGTGCATGCATGTCCAAAATCCAGAGAAGAGAATGAAGGAGAAGGGATTGTGGCATGGCCATCTTCCCGGGGGGGGGTGGGGGGTGTGGATTTCTCACTTTGCCTCTCTGTTTTTCTCTTCTCTCTCCATCTTTCTGGCAAGTGCACATGCCCAATGGCAAAAAAAAAAAAAAAAGTTGGCTTTTTATTCTTTAATTGGCAATCCTTGATTAATAAAGGCAAATAGCAGAAGATTCCTCTTATCTATAGGTTTATTGGGTTCATATATTTTCCTAAATCATAGTATCTACAAATCCCAATTATATCATAAAATTAGTTAACGGTGGAAGAAATGAGAATGTTTAGTCAATAAATGCTGATCTCATTCCTAGACTCCACATTTGGTCAGTAAATGGTAGTCATGCTCTGTGAATTTAGAGTTGCTCAGTAGGAGTTAGAACCCAGATTCTGTCCCAAACCTCCTAGTGACTTGGGACAAGTAACATTACCTCTTGAAATATCAGCCTTCTTTTGCTTACAATGAGGTAAGCAGTGGCCCTTACTTCATAGGGTTGTTACAAAGAAGAAGTAAGATGACTCTTTAAAGTACTTCCCGCAATGCTTGACACAAGCATTTGATTTCTCAGTTTAAAAAATAATTAAACACACACATACACACACACTAGTGTGTGTGCTCACCAGAGAGGAGGAGAAAGGGAAAGTGAGAAAGCCTCCTCTGTGGGTAATGTTCATGCCACAATCCCTTCTCCATCTCTCCTTCCTTTTGGGATTTTGAACATGCATGAAATACACTCAGTGTCTTTTTTCCAGGTCTCTGGGTCTAGGACTCAAACCTTGCAACTGGCCATGTGGGATCCAGCCACCTCAATCACCAGACCAGCCAGGGCTGGCCCTAATTTCTCATTTTTCTCTGTTTCTATAGTTCTGACAAAGTTGAGCAAAGTGGGGGAGTTAAGGACTGGCAAGGGGCCCGGATAATCTAAATATGACAACTACTTGTCAGTTGCTTGTTATCATAATGTTTAAAGTAAAAGCAATAGACACTTGTTCTCAGTAGAATTAATGCTGGTTTAAAACATCCCTAAGTAGGATTAAAGGAAACCAGGTAAGAGAGCTATAAAGAAAAAAGGAAAGACACGTAAGTATGCCTACAATGAGTTGTGATGAGTCTGTCAAAAGGCGGATATCATTTGTCTAACTCTTGCGTGATCCAAATGTATAAATACTTTCACTGCAGATTTCACCATGCTATTCAGTGAAGAGCAACAAATGCTATTTTTGAAGAATCCTGAGATCTTTTGCTGTTTAGTTAGATAAATATTGACAAAAAAACCCAACTAAAAAAAGAAAAGAATAGAGAGATGATAGAAAAGATGCCGAGAAAGAAAGAAGGAGACAGTGAGTCAAGATTAAGAACAGTTTCTAGTGTTCACGACATAATATAATATTAAATGTTGAAGGTGGTGAATATGTTGATTGTCTCAATTTGTTTATTACACCTGTATGCATGCTTTTAAAGGCCATTCTGTAGCCTACAATTATGTGTAATGATTATATGTAAATCATAAATTACAATCAATATTTAAAGGGGAAAAATAAGACTAGTAGGAGAGGAACTTTACATACTAGGGAATCCCACTTTCCCCACACTCCCATTGCAGTGCAGGCAAAAATTGGGAATAAACTGATAACAGGAGACTGCTGCTCTTTTGCAGTTTGACAAAGCAAAACTGCAACAAATAACTGACTTATCTTGGTGTACTGAAGACAAACACCCATAGAATACAGAAATTAATGTTAAGCATTGGATACAGGTAGAGATGTTTAATTGCAGGACAATCAAATGACACAATTCTGTGTAAAACACAGACACACACACACACACACACACACACACAAAGCATGTGTTTAAGCATCCCCAGTCACACCTACCAAGTGCATCTTTTTCTGAACCACTTTTTTATGTCTGAATGGTAGTAGGACCAAGACCCTGCCATGATCAGGATCCTCAGTCTCTAATCCCTGGAAGCCATCTTCCTATTCTTTTGCATTTCTCTCTAGAAGGTTTCTTTGAGCTGTAAACCCCATGAATGCTTGATGTTGGCGGCTCATTGATCAGATCAATGAGTTCAGATAATGGCTTGGTTAGCTTTTGAACACAGTATCCCTTCTACCAGAAGACATTCAGGTGAAAACCACCTCCTTTCATATAGTATCAAAAGACGGGAGAAAAGAAAAATGAAAAACTCATGGAGATATGCAAGAAATACAAGATTGTAAATAGTAAATACCAAAGGAAAGGAAAGAGGGTTACCATGCCAGAACTACATTAACTAGCACTTCCTCCAGAAGAAGAAAGTCAGTGTTGCTCTCTATCTTCTTACCCACATAGAATACCAACATTAAAGAGATGATGTGCCTTAGCTATAATTATATGACTCAAGTGTGTCGGCACCTACGATACATGCTAAAAATTCCTGACTTCAAAGGTTCCACTCATTTTACTCTATAATGGCAACATGAGTGCATGATGAAGAGGAAAGAATAAAGACAATAAAGCAGATCAGATTTTTTTAACGTAATTTTTGTATATAGGGTGATGAAAGTCCTTCATGTCACTACAGCTCTTAGGCATATGAAAGTGAAATTAAAGACTATCCTTGTTGAACAATTATGTTACTCTTCTTATCCTATTCTTTTTCACTCAATCTTTGTTCCTCCTATATAAATTAGAATGATCATCAAGTCTCAATACGACATCCTTATCTTTGATAAATTGTTTTCCTTGCCCAGTAAATCTAGCATCTGAATCTTCCTCTGCCAACAGGCTCTGCCTTTCTTCTCTTAGGGAGCATGGTGACAGCCACTGGCCTCACTTGGCTGATCAAGAGCAGCAGTCCCTCCTCCACCTTCAGCCTGTGGGGTCATAATAAAGCCAGCCACACTACAGCTGCCCTCGAAAATATAAAAATATATTTTCTCCACACAGAGCAGACACGGCAGTTGAAGAATCCACTGCTCTAGGAGCCTAAGGGATGCGTGTTGGGGCTGAAACCAAAGTGTGGCTGCATAATTTTGGGACAATTAATATCACCTGATGATGCGTCAGGACAGCATGAGCCCCTCGCACTGCTGTCTTTTCATGCTCTGTGAAGAAGCTGTGCCTGCAGAGGTACAGGAAGGGACTCTGGATCCCCTCAAGTTAAGAGAACTGTGGAGTTAGCCACGCTCAAACTGCAGGTCAGGGAAAATGGGGAATAGAAAACAAGCCCAGAGGTGAAGGAACAGAGGGAATGATAGGACTGACTCGCAAGGAAACTGAAGTTGCTGATGGCACGTCTGCTTCTAAGAACTTGAGAGGACAGACCAGCCTCAGGGATATGACCACAAGAAGCCACCTGGATTGTTTTCTCTGACTTTCTCATTTCCATCTTCTTCCCATCCGTTTTATGCTTTCTCCTTTCTTTCCTTCAATCTTGTGTGATCTTCCCAGTAATCATTTCCACATTCCCTTCTCTTCTCTTTCTTACACCTTAGTTTACACCACATATTGAGTAGAAACCCAAGCAAATGATCGAGTCACTTTGCCGTGACTGCACATGTCACCCGTGTCAGGAGGACTTGCTGCCAGGACTCTGAGACACATTTCCCTCCTCATACCCCCTCTGTTGTATTTCTTACTCCACCCCCTGTTCTCGCCAAAACACAAATCATACAACGACGCTAAGATGTAAGGGTTCTAATGTCCTTGGGAATGGTTTCATGTTTCCATCTGGCAGTGATTTTATATCCATGTCTCATGTTTAACAACTTTTTCAAGAGTTTTGTCACAGTCTCTGGTTGTTCCCTAACAGATTTCTCTTTGCTACATTTCATGTTCAAAATCTTATATAGATGTAAAACAGTGCGAGTGGTGTCTTCTAAATACCAATAGCAGAGTGCATCATCATTGGACAGGCAGGCCGGTGTAACTGGAATTAATCTGATCGTCTCGTCTCCTCCCAAAGGAACAGAAGAGGAAGATGAAGGAGACGACTGTCTTCTGGGGTCTGTGGACGAGTTCTGGTGGTTCCCTCACATGTGGAGCCACATGCAGCCCCACCTCTTCCACAACGAGTCCTCCTTGGTCGAGCAGATGATCCTCAACAAAAAATTTGCCTTAGTAAGTAACTCACTTCTACTGTTGCACTGAATATGTGTGTGTACTGATTAGAGGAATGGCAAGGGTTTATAAGCAAACCTCTTGGAGGCTTTTGGCAAATTGGTACTTTCGGGGCAACTTTCTCTGTGATCATTAAGAAGACTTGGTACTGCCCTTCGGTATGTGGCTTGTGTGTCTGTCTGTATTGGGAACTCATCATATGCTCAATGTTTTCAGGGGTCTAATTTTTTTGAGAGAGAGATTTTTGCTATAGGGCACCTGAAGAGACAAAAAGAGGTGGAGAGAGAGTAAGTGAGAAATCACTCCCCAGCGGGGATGGCCACATTGCAATCCCTTCTTCATTCTCCTCCATGGCATTATCATTAGAACTCATAAATCATGATTCCTGTCCAGAAAGAGCCTCCTACTGTCCTGAGAAGGCAGAAATAAGGGCATTAAGCAGTTCTCCACAAAATGAAATATTCCATAGCCTAATACCAGTACAAGAATAAAACCCACGGTGCAAAGAAATAATTGTCACTGGAAGGTCCGGGACATATTCTTAAGCAAATGGAATTTTAGGTACACCCAATACATCCAAGTTTAGGTATCTGAGTGAATTTGAATTATTGAGGCTAAGGGAAAAGACCCGATAAGTCTTTTCATACCCAAGTCTCATGTTTAACAACTTTTAAATAGTTAAACCGCATGGGTATGAGGTAGTGAAAACTCAGTCTAGAAAAGAAATGAAAATGGAAAAAAAAAATATTTAGAAAACATTGTAAGTTTATATGTTATGTAGCTGGGACATTTGCTTGGCTGAAGCAAGATATAGTTTTATACCACAAGATTAATAATTCAAGACAGTAATATTTATAATAAAAGTAAGTATTTTATAAGGGAAATGCACTAGGGTCCTGAGAGAGGACTGATGCTCCCTTGTGTGGAATTGGTACCCTAGATCAACTGATAAAGCTGAGAAGCTTGAGTAATTGATTCTCACAGTACATTCAATGAATGAAATGTCTATTATCAGCTTTACAAATGGGACAAACATCACTAGGAAAGTAAAATAATATATTCAAACCTCGAAAAAAAATAAGTAATATATACTTCAGCTGCAGAGCTGGGCTTAAGCTTTAGCAAATGGTAATAGTTTAATTTTCAATGATAAAGTAATTAGTAGAGATTTTTATCATAGACTTCCTCACCATCATCAGACATTTAACACGGTTACAGACAAAACTATTAAAATTAATAGTAGTAGAACAATGTTCCTGAAGACATAAAATATTACCAAGGATTGTAGTTTGGATCACATTCTCATCCTTCTTTCAAATACTGTCCTTTCTCTCTCTTTTCCAAGTTCAGCAGAACCTGCTAATTTATATTAGATGGAATGTCTATTGTTAGTTATACAACTTTTTAAATCAGTGAGCATATTAACTAACTTTTACGGAAATAAAGATTATGGTATGAAAATACAATTTATAACATATCAAAAGACTTGCTAGCTTACAGAATAGATCATATTTTTTTCTAGTTTGCTTGCCAACTAGAGAATGAATGAAACCTATCACTTTCATTTCAGTAAAGACACATTAGATTTTTCATTTTATTGCTATTGAACACAAAGTATCATTTTAGTGGTCCTAACAGAAAAGAGCATGCCAGTCAGTTTACACGGTGCTTGTAGACCACTCCTAGGGTGATCCACTCAGAACAGTTTAAGATGTTGGCCGTTACTCAGAGCAGGATGACCAATATGAGGAAGGCTGATCATTTACTTTGTAAAATGGATGGCTGAAGGAACTTGGACAGGACAAAAGATGGAAGAGAAGACTGAGGAGTAGTAACAAAGCTAATACTCAACTTAGAGTACTGGTATGGCCCGAGTATTTATTTTTGTCCAGTTAATTTTATTAACTAAATGTTATCTTTGAGATTACAATTGCCCCTTTACCATTTCATATGTTGTATGTTCAATGTTCAAGTATATCAACATCCTGCTAAAAATAAATTCTGCTATTTAACAAGTTTTATATACATTCCTGTTTTGTGTCAACACTATATTTTATAAGCCTGATGGTTGCATCCTTAAGAGGTTATTGGTAAAGCTGGACAGAATAACATCATGGTTAACGTTTTATGGAAGAGCAACACATTCTACATTCCAAGTTAACCTAAGTTCAGGAATCATCATTATTTCAAAAATAATAGGCTAATCAACTGCAAATCTGCTTGGTTCAATTAATATCTATCAAGATTACATAAAGTATGTCAGGGATTTTGCTAAAATCAAGAAATAAGATGTGCGTGGCATTTTCTATTATCAATTTAGAACTTTTATTTAAAAGGAATTTATACAGTAAGATATTAAACACAATAGTTCATCATAGATATTGCTTTCTCATTTATTACTTGTCAGTAACCTGGTTAGTAATCCATTCTAGAATTTCATGGAGCTAACATTAAACTCAGAGATTTACCATTTCTGAAATTCTATCATTCTCCTTTTTGAAAGTTTGGGATATTTTCAACTTCTACATATTATTATTCTCTATTTATCTGTGATTACTAAAAGTTTTTACACATAATCTATAAAGTTTAATTTGAAAAAAAAAAGTTTTCTTTTAAGTCTGGAAAAAATAAAATAATTTAGTTTACTATGGTATATAAATTTAGTTTGTCTAATTGTCACTTTATCTCATTTTTTCTTTACTTTTTTTTTTTTTTTTTTTGGAGAGGTTTTTGCTATAGGGTACATGTACTCACCAGAAAAACAGAGACAGATAGAAAGCAAGAAATCACCCCCTGGGGGTATGGCCAAGCCGCAATCCTTTCTCCTCCATTCTCCTCTTGGGATCTTGGGCATGCATGCTCATGCGCCCAGAGTGAGTTTAAGCCACCGGATCTGAGACGAATCGTGGTTGACTACATGGGAGTTCAACAACATAACCATTATGCCAACTGCTGGTCCCAATTTTCTTATTTTTTACATTTAATTACTGTATCTCTTTACAGCATACAAAAGAATTTTACCACCATGAATGCACTGTATACTACATCTTAGTCCAGTCAAAGATATTAACACTCACATTATCCTTAACAGAAAATTTTCCACTTTTGTGTTCATTAAATGTTTTGCTTTTCTCTCCATTGATCCCTCCCTCCCACCACCCCTGTTGCCCACCCTCCTCCCACACTGTTTCTAGTATCCATAGTTGCTCTCTCCATGTTTTTGTACTTTCTAATCTTTCAGTTTCTGCAATGGCATGTAGACATTCAGTATATATTAAGTGGGGACATACAGTGCCTCTTTTTCATAGTCTAGCTTGCTTCACTTAGCATTAAATCTTCCATTTTCACCTACTTTTGATAAAATGCCAGGGCTCATTGTTTCTTATAGCTGAATACTATTTCATAGTGTATATGTGCCACACTTTTTCAATCCATTCATCTGCTCTTGGACATATGGGTTGGTTCCATGTTTTAGCAATTATGAATAATGCTGCAATAAACATGGATGTGCACGTGTTATTTTCAGAGTATATTCCTATTCTTTGAAGTAAATAATCAAGAGTGAAATTGCTGGATCATATGGTAGTTCTATTTGTACATTTTTGAGGAATCTCTGTATTGTTCTCCACAGTGTCTGTACTAATTTACATTCCCACCAACTGTATAGGAGAGTTCCATTTTCACCATAGCCTCATCAGCACTAATGATTTTTTTAATCTTTGCCATTCTGACTGGGATTAGGTGATATCTCATTACGGTTTTGATTTGCCCCTCCCTTATGATAAAGGATGTTGAGCATCTTTTCACAAGCTTTTTTGCTATTTGCATGTTTTCCTTGGAGAGTTGTCTGTTTAGCTTATTTGCCCATCATTTAATTAGACTGGTTATTTTTCGGTTGGTAAGCTGCTTGCATTCCCTGTATATTCTAATTATCAGTCCCTTATCTGAGGGAGAGTTTGCAGATAGATTCTCCCATTCGAGGGTTGTCTCTTCCTTTATCTAATTTTATGTTTAGCCCGCCATAAATATTTTGAAAATGTTCTCTTTGACAGAGAAAGAAGCAGAGTAGATAAGCAGATATTTCTGCTTTTTTGCTCTATCATCCATTATAGTATCTCAAACTCCTCCCTCCAACAATTATGGAAATCGTCTAATATTTCTTGTTTATATTGGGCTGATCAGAGTCATTTTCAATTAGCAATTTCTGGAAAATAAACTCATTCTTAGAATTTGCCTCCTTGGCATTTTATTATTATTATTATTTGTAAAGTTTACATTAGGGCATGTGCACTCAACAGAGTAAGAGAGAGAGAAAGAGAGCAAGTGAGAAAACAGGGATGGCCACACTTCAATCCCTTATGCATTCTCCTCTTAGGATTTTGGGCATGCTCGTGCACATGCCCTGCATGTTTTTCAGCCACCAGGTCTGGGACATGAACGGCAGTCATCCATTTATGATCCAGTTGCCTTAACTGCTATGCCAACTGCTGGCCTTGGCATTATTATTATGCCTTTTGTATTTGTTTGTTTTTGAGAGGTTTTTGCTATAGAGCACATGCACTCTCCAGAAAGACAGAGAGAGACAGAAAGTGAGAAACCATGCTTCAGGGGGGATGGCCATGCCACAATCCCTTCTCCTCCATTTTCCACTCATGAGCTTGGGCACACACGTACATGTGCCTGACATGAGTTTAAGCCACCAGGTCCAGGACTCAAACAAGGTCAACTACATGGGAGTCCAGCAACATAGACATTATGCCAACTGCTGGTCCCTGTATTTGTTTGTTTTGTTAGTTGGTTTTTGGTCTTGGTTTTACATACATCCTTTGATCTCTTGTATATGTTTCAAACTTTGGTGTATATGAGAGCCCTGTATTGAGAATTTACTGTACGATTGGAATATTTTTAGAAAGATAATAGACTAATTCTCTTATTAGTCTTACTTAATTCTCATCACAACCTTCCTCTATTAATCTCTATTTTATAGATGACAAAGCTGA